AGTAGAGACAGGGTTTCTCCATGTTGGTCAGGCTGGTCTTGAACTCCCGACCTTGGGTGATCTACCCACCTCAGCCTCCCAAAGTGCTGGGATTACAGGCGTGAGCCACCGCGCCAGGCCAAGTTTTTAAATCTTATAATACTGCACATAATCCTGAGACTGATGTGAAAATATCTGGAGTAGGAAAACCACAGAGTTGTCCTAGGCTGCAGATGGTCCTGTGTGCGATAACAAAATTGAGTTATTAAGAAGAAGAAGTTATCTTTAGGCCATAAATGACTCTATGGTTTCTGTTCTTTGCCATGGCCTTGGGGGTTTTGCTGAGCATCTGGTTTTAAGGAAGTTACCTTATTTCCCCTTTGAATGTTCTCAGTCTTCCTTCTATGTTAATGCCTTCTGGGTCTCATTAAATATCATACCAAGTAGGTGCACTTGTATCTAGACTTCATTACCTTATGCTTGGACCAAAGGAACCTCCAGACTTATCTGGATCTCTCCCTGTCACAGTCTTTCTGCATCAGGGACATTGAGAGGCCCGGCCAGATGGAAGCTGTGGGAGGCAAGGGTGGACAGCCTAAGTGGGAACTGAGGGTGATGGGCCTAGGGAAAAATTGGGCTTGACACCTTCCAAGTTAAGAAGCTGCCGTCACTCTAGGATTTCAAGCATGAGAGAGACACATGGAAAGCCGTTTTCACAGAGGTGAGTCCCACAACTATATAGAGTTCAGGTGATACAGAACGATTATGAAAGCAGAGAGATCCAGAAAAGGCTGGAGGTAACTCCAGGGGTAAGGTCATGAAGTCTGGATGTGAGCCTTTCTCCCAGGAACAGGAAGAGATAGGAGAATCTGAAGACGTTCTATGATGGGAAATGGCAGCATGTGATTTCAGATCATTGTCTCCCTGTATATATGCATATATACAGTATCTCTCTGTGAGATGAGAGTAGTATTTATAATAACTCCCAGGCATTTTGAGACCCTGAAGTCTTTCTGAATTATAAATAGTATTTACCATAATGTTAATGGAAAAATGTATTTTACGTTGTTTTAATTCTTGGGGTTTTGGGGTGTTTTTTTTGTTGTTGTTGTTGTTTTTTTTTTTGAGACAGTGTCTGGCTCTATTGCCCAGGCTGGAGCATAGTTGTGTGATTTTGGCTCACTGCAGCCTCCTTCTCCCAGGCTTCAAGCCACCCTCTCAACTTAGCCTCCCAAGTAGTTGGGACTACAGGTGTGCACCACCACACCTGGCTAATTTTTGGATTTGTGGTAGAGACAGGGTTTCATCACCATGTTGCCCAGGCTGGTCTCAGACTCCTGAGCTCAAGTGATCTGCCTGCCTCGGCCTCCCAAAGTTTTGGGATTGTGGGCATAACCCACCATGCCAGACCTTTCAATTCTTTGAGAATTGGTTATCTAGAATATACAGTTAAAATTATCCCTGCATTTAGCTGATCCTACAGATTAGGATTCACTGTACTCAGGTTGGACTCCTAATTTTGACTTTTCTTTTTTTTTTCCTTTGCTTTTTCTTTTCTTTTTTTTTTTTTTTGAGACGGAGTCTCGCTCTGTCACTCAGGCTAGAGTGCAGTGGCCGGATCTCAGCTCACTGCAAGCTCCGCCTCCCAGGTTTACGCCATTCTCCTGCCTCAGCCTCCCGAGTAGCTGGGACTACAGGCGCCCGTCACCTCTCCCGGCTAGTTTTTTGTATTTTTTTTTAGTAGAGATGGGGTTTCACCGTGTTAGCCAGGATGGTCTCGATCTCCTGACCTCGTGATCCGCCCGTCTCGGCCTCCCAGAGTGCTGGTATTACAGGTGTGAGCCACTGCGCCTGGCCTTTTTTTTTTTCTGAGATGGAGTCTTGCTCTGTCGCCCAGTGCTGGAGTGCAATGGCACGACATTGGCTCACTGCAACTGCTGCCTCCCGGGCTCAAGCAATTCTCCTGCCTCAGCCTCCCAAGTAGCTGGGATTACAGGCACGTGCCACCACACCTGGCTAATTTTGTATTTTTAGTCGAGACGGGGTTTCACCATGTTGGTCAGGCTGGTCTTGAACTCCTGACCTCATGACCTGCCCACTGTGGCTTCCCAAAGTGCTGGGATTACAGGCATAAACCACCACGCCCAGCCAGTTTTGACTTTTCAATGTAGCTAAGAGGCTGAGCATGGTGGCTCACACATGTAATCCCAGCACTTTGGGAGTTCAAGGCAGGAGGATCACTCAAACCTAGAGTTTGAGACCAGCCTGGGTAACATAGGGAGACCCTATTTTTTTTTTTTTCTTTTTTTTTTTTTTTTTGAGACGGAGTCTTGCTCTGTCGCCCGGGCTGGAGTGCAGTGGCTGGATCTCAGCTCACTGCAAGCTCCAACTCCCAGGTTTATGCCATTCTCCTGCCTCAGCCTCCCGTGTAGCTGGGACTACAGGCGCCCGCCACCACGTCCGGCTAGTTTTTTGTATTTTTTTAGTAGAGACGGGGTTTCACTGTATTAGCCAGGATGGTGTCGATCTCCTGACCTCGTGATCCACCCGTCTCAGCCTCCCAAAGTGCTGGGATTACAGGCTTGAGCCACTGCGCCCGGCCGGGAGACCCTATTTTTTAAATTAAAAACAAAATTAATGAGGCTAAGAAACTATTTGCTTCATTGATTGGGTGTGTCATGTAGGGAAAAGCAGCATAAGGAAGTCCCCTTGATCACATGCACACATGTACACTTGCATACACACATACATGTTTCTTGTGATCTCTCTATGGCAGGAGTAACTGGGTGCTATTGTTGTTTTAGTTTCCCAAGATTCTTAATGCTGTGTGTTGCCAGTGGTGATCCCTCAGTCTGAGCTTGCCAACAGTTGTCCTCAATTCTGCAGACCTGATTTAGGCATTTCTTTTTTTTCCCTTTTTTTTTTTTTTTTTTTTTTTTTTTTTTGAGACGGAGTCTTGCTCTGCTGCCCAGGCTGGGGTGCAGTGGCCGGATCTCAGCTCACTGCAAGCTCCGCCTCCCAGGTTTACGCCATTCTCCTGCCTCAGCCTCCCGAGTAGCTGGGACTACAGGCGCCCGCCACCTCGCCCGGCTAGTTTTTTATATTTTTTAGTAGAGACGGGGTTTCACCATGTTAGCCAGGATGGTCTCGATCTCCTGACCTCGTGATCCGCCCATCTCGGCCTCCCAAAGTGCTGGGATTACAGGCTTGAGCCACCGCGCCCGGCCTCCCTTTTTTTTTTTTTTGAGATGGAGTTCCACTCTTGTTTCCCAGGCTGCAGTGCAGTGGCGCGATCTCGGCTCACAGCAACCTCCGCCTCCCGGGTTCAAGCGATTCTCCTGCCTTAGCCTCCCGAGTAGCTGGGATTACAGGCATGCACCACCACGCCCAGCTTATTTTGTATTTTTAATAGAGACAAACTTTCTCCATGTTGGTCAGGCTGGTCTTGAACTCCAGGCCTCAGGTGATCCGCCTGCCTCGGCCTCCCAAAGTGCTGGGATTACAAATGTGAGCCACCTCGCCCAGCCTTTTCCTTTTTTTTTTGAGACAGAGTCTCTCTGTCTGTTGCCCAGGCTGGAGTGCAGTGGCATGATCTCGGCCCACTGCAAGCTCCACCTCCTGTGTTCACACGATTCTCCTGCCTCAGCCTCCCGAGTAGCTGGGACTACAGGCGCCCACCACCACGCCTGGCTACTTTTTTATATTTTAAGTAGAAACAGGGTTTCACCGTCTTAGCCAGGATGGTCTTGATCTCCTGACCTCGTGATCCGCCCGCCTTGGCCTCCCAAAGTGCTGGGATTATAGGCGTGGGCCACTGCACCCAGCCACCTTTTCCTTTTTTTTGAGACAGGGTCTGTCTCTGTCATCCAGGCTGGGGTGCAGTGACGTGATCTCAACTCACTGCAGCCTCCACCTCCCGGGTTCAAGCGGTTCTCCTGCCTCAGCCTCCTGAGTAGCTGGGAGTACAGGCATGTGCCACCAGGCCCCAGCTAGTTTTTGTATTTCTAGTAGAAACAGGGTTTTGCCATGTTGGCCAGTCTGGCCTCAAACTCCTGACCTCAAGTGATCCACCTGCCTCAGCCTCCCAAAGTGTTGGAATTACAGGTTTAAGCTACTGCACCTGGCCAATTTAGGCATTTCTCATGATTGACCAGTTTGGACACAAATTGCGGCAATGTTAATGTGCCTTTTTCCTCATCCCTCACTCCCTTTTCGTACTGTCTTGTGCTCCAGATCCAACTGGGGAAAATCATGAAACCTAATACATTTGGGAGGTGGAGGAAGGAAGGGCAACGCATTCCAGAAAGCCCACCACTGCCTTTTGGCTGTCATCCTTTTACATTCAGAGTTCAAGGAAGTATTGTGGTATGAATGCCTTGTTAACAATTATCATTTGTGGCCGGGCGCGGTGGCTCAAGCCTGTAATCCCAGCACTTTGGGAGGCCAAGGCGGGTGGATCACGAGGTCAGGAGATCGAGACCATCCTGGCTAACACGGTGAAACCCCGTCTCTACTACAAAATACAAAAACCTAGCCGGGCGTGGTGGCGGGTGCCTGTAGTCCCAGCTACTTGGAGGCTGAGGCAGGAGAATGGCGTGAACCTGGGAGGCGGAGTTTGCAGTGAGCCGAGATCGCGCCACTGCACTCCAGCCTGGGTGACACAGCGAGACTCCGTCTAAAAAAAAAAAAAAAAAAAAAAACAATTATCATTTGCGTTTGGTGCCATTACCCTGGCAATCTAAAGAAAATAAGCAACATAAAAGCAAGAACGGAAAAGGCCCTTTCACACAAATAGGACATCCCTTGCCCAGCACTCCCTCCCTGAAAGCCGAGGGGGCGCGAGTCAGGAGGAGTGCTGGTGTCCTCCAAATGCCCTTTCTGGACCTGGGTTCTTCAGCCTGCTTCTGAAGCCAAAGGCTTGATTAAGGAAGGTCTGAGTCCACAGAAAGCTCTTTGTCATGGGTAGCACAAAACAGATTTTTTTTTTTAAATCCTGCATCAGTATTTACTTTTTGTTACAGTGGTTTGAGTCCAGCCAATGACACTGGAGCCAAAAAGAAGAAAAAGAAACAAAAAAAGAAGAAAGAAAAAGGCAGTGAGACAGATTCAACCCAGGATCAGCCTGTAAAGGTAACAAGGAGGCTCTGTTTTTTGTGACTGAGTCACTTTTTCACATGAGAGAGTTTTGAGGTGAATGTATGGGAACAACTTGGATTGACATTCTCCACTGGTATTACTTCAAGATGGAAGAGTTGGATCCCACTGCTGTCCTCTGCTGCCCTAGACCTAGGTGATGAAACTGCTCTCAGTACCCTAAAAGACACGGCAAGTCAGACACTGACTCCCAATCATGGTGCCCATCAGAATGGACAGGTGCATACTGCATGTGCTGCTGTGCCAGTGCCCCGGGGAGCTACGTGTGACAGCTCCTGGTGCCTAGAGCAGTGGTTCTCTGTCTTAAGTCCCCACCGCTCTGACAATGAAAGGCCCCCCTTTCTTTTTGAGACAGGGTCTTACTCTGTTGCCCAAGTTAGAGTGCAGAGCATGATTATAGCTCACTACAGCCTCCACTCCTGGGCTCAAGTGATCCTCCCACCTCAGCCTCCCAAGTAGCTGGAACTGCAGGTGCATGCCACCACACCTGTCCAATTTTTTTTTTTTTTTAATTTTTTGTAGAGATGGAGTCTCACTGTGTTACCCAAGCTGAGTCTTGAAGTCCTGGGCTCAAGCAGCCCTCCTGCCTCAGCCTCCCAGAGTGCTGGGATTACAGGCATGAGCTGCTGCGCTCAGCCACAGACCTCTTCTTAACACCTTCATATATTTGCAAACATTCTCTTAATGCCATAGTCCTTATAATGAAAACCATGAGTCCCACAGAGTCTTTCTGAGTTCTACTCCATGAGAACCACTGGCCTAAGGCTTACAACCCGAGAGTGATGCACTGACATGAAACCCAGAGATATGGGAAAGGATCGTTTTGTTTCTTAAATAAAACATCATTACAAAATAAAACAATTTCAGGTAAGTCTTGTCTTCCTCAAAGTAGCTGACAGGGGCAAGGGGACAACTCAAACATATTCATAATTCACCTTTTAAAACTGTCTCTGAGACCAGGCACGGTGGCTCATGCCTGTAATCCCAGCACTTTGGGAGGCCGAGGCGGGTGGATCACCTGAGGTCAGGAGTTCAAGACCAGCCTGGCCAACATGGTGAAACCCCATCTCTACTAAAAATACAAAAAATTAGCTGGGCGTGGTGGCAGGCGCCTGTAATACCAGCTACTTGGGGGCTGAGGCAGGAGAATCGCTTGAAAACCCAGGAGGCGGAGGTTGCAGTGAGCTGAGATCATGCCACTGCACTCCAGCCTGGGCAACACAGTGGGACTCTGCCTCAGAAAATAAAAATTAAGTGGCCAGTCACGGTGGCTCACACCTGTAATCCCAGCATGTTGGGAGGCCAGGGCGGGTGGATCACGAGGTCAGGAGTTTGAGACCAGCCCAGCCAACGTGGTGAAACCCCACCTCTACTAAAGATACAAAAAAAAAATTAGCCAGGCGTGGTGGCGCGTGCCTGTAATCCCAGCTACTCAAGAGGCTGAGGCAGGAGAATCGCTTGAACCCAGGAGGTAGAGGTTGCAGTGAGCCAAGATTGCACCATTGCACTTCAGCCTGGGCAATAGGGCGAGATTCCATCTCAAATAAATAAATAAATAAATAAAATTTTTAACAACAACAACAAAAAAGAACTGCCTCTGAAACAGTTTATAAGCCTCGCAAAAGTCCATTCTCATTCCGGTATACCCACGTTTTGCTTTCTGCCTCAAATGTTATGCTTCAACTTGAATCTACTACCTTATTGAGATATGACTTCAAGTAATTTTTTGCTATTTCAAATATAAAACCCACTATGAAAAAAATACCATTATTATTTAATATCATGTTGCACTTCATTTAAATTAGCTCCAAACCAACCATCACCATCCCTACAAGGTAGGTGGGGGTCTTCCCTTTTTTTTTTTTTTTTTTGAGACAGAGTCTTGCTCTGTCGCCCAGGCTGGAGTGCAGTGGCGCAATCTTGGCTCACTGCGAGCTCCACCTCCCGGGTTCATGCCATTTTCCTGCCTCAGCCTCCCGAGTAGCTGGGACTACAGGCGCCCGCCAACATGCCCGGCTAATATTTTGTGTTTTTAGTAGAGATGGGGTTTCACCGTGTTAGCCAGGATGGTCTCGATCTCCTGACCTCTTGATCTGCCCGCCTTGGCCTCCCAAAGTACTGGGATTACAGGCGTGAGCCACCGTGCCCAGCCTGGGTCTTCCCTTTTTATTTATTTAGTTTATTTTTGAGACTCTGTCGTTCAGGTTGGAGTGCAGCAGTACGAACATGGCTGACCACAGCCTCATCCTCCTGGGCTCAAGCAGTCTTCCCACCTCAGCCTCCCAAGTAGCCAGGACTACAGGTGCACACCACAACACCCGGCTCATTTTTTGATTGATTGTAGACACGGGGTCTCCCCACGTTGCCCAGGTTGATCTCTAACTCAGGCTCAAGCTGCCGTGGCCTCCTAAGTTGGTGAGATTACAGGAGTGAGCCACTATACATGGCCGATAATTTATTTAATAAACAGCAAGGGGAAGAAAATTAAAATGCCACCTCCCAGGACTAAGCAATATGAACATACTAGTTTATATTGTTGCTTTCCTTTATAACCTAAGTGAAAAATAGAAAAGTAAATAAAAGTATTAGAAGAAAATGTATGTATTTTTATTAACCTAAGTCTGACATAGGACCCAGAAGCCATAAAACAGAAATTGACAAATATAAAACTTTGTAGAAGTCAAAAGATAAACAACAATCTGGGAAAATATTTGCAACATACGTATTAGTTTAAAATGATTGAATAGGCAGTTCAAAAAGAAAAAAATGTTTAATCAGTGAATAAGATGGTTAAAGTCATAATGGAAGAAATGACTATTAAAGCAATAGTTTTTTCTCTTAGATTGGTATAGATTAAGGCTTGGTAAACTTTTTTTTTTTTTTAATCGGGACAACGGTCTCACTATATTGCCCAGACTGGCCTTGAACTCCCGGGCTTAAGCAGTCCTCCTGCCTCAGCCTCCCAAAGTCCTGGGGTTACAGGTGTGAGCCACCACGCTCAACTGAGGCTTGGTAAATGTAACGGTGAGGGTCTAGAGCTACTCTCTTACACTGTTCATTGGATTATTGATAGTCTCTTTTTAGAGAGCAAATTGATGATAAATAATTTCAAAAGTACGTACCTTTTGACCCAGCAAGCCTCTTTCTTAACTTCATCCTACAGAAATATATATCCCAGTGGGTAAAAATAGATGTATAAGAAAATTTATGCCGGGTGTGGTGGCCTATAATCCCAGCATTTTGGGAGGCTGAGGTGGGCAGATTGCTTGAGCCCAGGAGTTCGAGGCCAGCCTGGGCAACATATTGAGACCCCCATCTCAACAAAAAAACAAAGAAAAAAATTATCTGGGCCTGGTGGCCCATGCCTATAGGCCCAGCTACTCAAGAAGCTGAAGTGGGAGGATCCCTTCAGCCCATGAGGTTGAGGCCACAGTGAGCCATAATTGTGCCACTGCACTCCAGCCTGGGCGACAGAGTGAGACCCTGTCTCGAAAAGAAATTCACTGCAACATTGTTGTATTACTGAAGAACAAAATCACTAAAATGCCTATGAGCAGGGGGCTGGCTAAATATACTGTGGTCCATACATACAGTGGATACAGCAGATTTAGTTGGTAGAATGGGTAGGTCCATGTGTTTTCACCTGGAAAAGTCTCTAAGACATAGCTTTAAAGAGTAGTTTGTACGATAATATTATATGATCCACTTTTAGTTTTTGAAAAGTGTTGTGTGTGCATTTGGAACTTGCATGCAAAAAAGTCTGGAATTATATTTGCCTCTTCTCACCTTCCCAAGTGAAGACTGTTGATGACAAGCATTATATTTGGGGGATGGGATTGTTGGGTGTTTACTTTCTGTGTGTCTTACACATTTCTGCATTATTTGAAATTTATATTGAGCATGTATTACTTTTGCCATCAAACAACATAAGACTAGTAAGGAGAGAAACCCTGCAGGCAGCACCCACCCATCATACAGCTCAGTGTCAACCACTTTTTCTTCGGTTGTAATGACCTCTGGGATTAGGACAGAGGAACCAAACCCCTTCTTTGAGTTGTACCTCATAACTCTTTTTTTTTTTTTTTGAGATAGAGTCTTGCTCTGTCACCCAGGCTGGAGTGCAGTGGCGCAATCTTGACTCACTGCAACATCTGCCTCCCAGGTTCAAGCAATTCTGTCTCAGCCTCCTGAGTAGCTGGGATTACAGGGACATGCCGCCATGCCTGGCTAATTTTTTGTATTTTAGTAGAGACAGGGTTTCACCGTGTTGCCAAGGCTGGTCTTGAACTACTGAACTCAGGCAGTCCACCTCCCTCAGCCTCCCAAAGTGCTAGGATTATATACCACCGCGCCCAGCACTCTTTTTTTTTTTTTTTTTTTGAGACAGAGTCTAGCTTTGTCACCCAGGCTGGAGTGCAATGGCACTATCTCGGCTCACTGCATCCTCCACCTACCAGTTTGAAGTAATTCTTCTGCCTCAGCCTCCCCAAATCGCTGGGATTACAGGTGCCTGCCACCATACCTGGCTAATTTTTGTATTTTTAGTAGAGACAGGGTTTCACCATGTTGGTCGGGTGGGTCTTGAACTCCTAACCTCAAGTGATCCACCTGCCTTGGCCTCCGAAAGTGCTAGGATTACAGGCATGAGCCACTGCACCCAGCCCCCCTTAACTCTTGAACTCATAATTAATCAAAAGTCATACTAATATAATGCGCCTTTTCTCTCCTCAACTTTGTCTTGTCCAGATGAACTCTTTGCCAGCAGAGAGGATCCAGGAAATACAGAAGGCCATTGAGCTGTTCTCAGTGGGTCAGGGACCTGCCAAAACCATGGAGGAGGCTAGCAAGCGAAGCTACCAGTTCTGGGATACGCAGCCCGTCCCCAAGCTGGGTATGTATATGCTCGCTTTCTTTGCCAGGTCGGGGTGATGGATTTGCCTCAGCTGTGCCTTCATGAGGGTTTCATGCTGAATTACTGTAGGGAGGGCAGTAGAGTCCTGGAATTCCTTGGTAGTTTTTCAGAGGGTGGTCTTTAAAAATGCAGCATAAAGACTATCATTCAAAGACCTTAACATTTTATAGCAGCACACATTGAGAACAAATAATGATTCTTGCCAACAGCAGTGGCTCACACCTATAATCTCAGCACTTTGGGAGACTGAGGTGGGAGAATTGTTTGAGCCCAAAAGTTCGAGACTAGCCTGGGCAACATAGTGAGAACCTTGTTTCCACAAAAAGTGAAAAAAAAAAAAAAATGCACCTGTAGTCCCAGCTACTCAGGAGGCTGAGGTGGGAAGATCGCTTGAACCTGGGAGGTCAAGGCAGCAGTGAGCTGAGATCACACCACCGCACTCCAGCCTACATGACAGGAGTGAGACCCCCAACTCAAAAAATGAACAAACCAAAAACCCCCCCAAAAAACAGAACTGTTGGCACATGAAGAGTGGAAATGTCTGCCCAGAGGTCTTTTTTCCATTTAGGTTTATAGAGAGTTTGTCTTGTTTGTCTGGGCACATGTTTATTCCTGGAATGGGCAAAGTCCCCAGCCTCTTCCCCTTTGTCTCCTAGCCAATGCATGCTTACTAAATGCAAAGTGGTTTGCGATGTTGCTTAGCAGTGATGGTTCAACACCGGGAATGTCATATATAGGTTTCATCAACACCCCTTAAAAAGCTATAATGAACTGCTAAAGGGGTGGAATAAGCAGATTGTCTAAAAGGATTCTAGAAGGGACTGGATCCTGTTAGACGTGCCTGCCAAGACTGAGCCAAGCCAACCTTGATGGCTAACTTCAGGACTCAGCTGACAAAGTTTCTGAAGTGGTTGTATCATGATTCTGGACCCATTGGTGGCCTAGTTCCTGTTTTCTTTGTGACTGGGAAAGTAAGTATGTTGAAAAAAAAACATGTTCCAACACCAAATGTAAATGACTTTCAGCTCGTCCACATTACTACTTCTCTCCAGAAACACAATGAGACTTGACTAGTGTGTTCAGTGCAGAGGAGGAGGTTAGGGCAGGGCCAGGCAGGGTAGGGCCAAAGACTGGTGAGGGGAAGAAGGCAGCTGTGTCCAAGGAGATTTGTCTGCTGCGGAGGTTGGGAGCAGCTACTCCATGAGGCCTGCAGACCTGCAGGATGGGCATTGCCTAATTGCTAGTAGAAATGCAGTTTGTCAGGCCCGACCCCAAAGCTGCAGAATCAGAACTGCCAGAGGATTTCTGTCCACTTTGAAAGTTTGAGAAGCTCTGCTCTAGAGCGGATGCAGTTCTCAAGCTTCTTCACAACAGAAGCAAGCTGAGTAGGTGCATCCTCACAGGTGAAGGAGAGCAGAGCACTGCCCGGGTGGACAAGAGGGGTGCCGATTCCCCCATCACCTTGTGTGTTTGGCTGCCCTAATCGGCCAGGTCCCAGGCCCACTGGCTAAGCCCTCCAGCAAGGCTTTGGGCCATAGGGTGGGGTCCCAGTGACCAGGTTCTCGCTGAGGAGCAGGAACGATGTAGAGAGCCACACATCTTATCTCCAAATGAAATCCCTGATGAGGTATTATGTGGTGGCTGCCATATATCTTGGCTGTGTTTTCAGATGGCATTTTGGAGTTTTGGTTTGATTTTATTTTTCCTGAGGAATCTGCAAATGAGTAACCTTGCTACATTCTTCACAGATAGTGTCTCCTGGTAAAGAGGCAGATTGAGGCCAGGCGCAGTGGCTCATGCCTGTAATCCCAGCACTTTGGGAGGCCGAGGCGGGCAGATCACCTGAGGTCAGGAGTTTGAGACCAGCCTGGCCAACATGGTAAAACCTTGTCTCTACTAAAAATACAAAAACTAGCTGGGCGTGGTGGCACGGGCCTGCGATCCCAGCTACTCGAGAGTCTGAGGCTGGAGAATTGCTTGAACCTGGGGAGACGGAGGTTGCAGTGAGCTGAGATCGCACCACTACACTCCAGCCTGGGCAGCAGAGCAAGACTGCATCTCAAAAATAAATTAAAAAAAGAAAAAAAAAAAGAGGCAGATTGGGATTAATTTGCTTCTGTTCCTCTTCAGCCCAGCAATACTTTGTTTTCCTCTCACCTGTAAATGTAGAAAGTGCTTCAGTTTAGTTCTCAGAAAGCTCAAGAGAAAACCACACAGTTGCTCATACGGGCCCTGACACTTTGAGGAAGGAGGAACAAGGTCTGGGTTTATTTCTTCTGGTTTTGCCTCCTGTGCAGTGTGTGGTGTGGGACTCTGTGGAAGAGTGGTTGCCCTGAGCATCTGACTAGTCTGTCTTTGAGGTCCAGGGTCAGTCAAGCCCCAGTTAGGTTCCTTTGTTTGTGTCAGCCTGCAGAAAGTGCCACCTTGGCAGGCGTGTTAGCCTGCATGGCTGAGGCATCACCCTAGTTCTGAGTTTTCTCAGGGGTGGTGTTATCTACAGCTTCTTGCCCTAATTTTTTTTCACTTAAATGGAGGACTAATGATTATAAATCTCATGCATTGTGTTTTTACAGCACTCCCTACCTTCTTGGGAGAGTTTTAATTAGATGGTATTCCACTAAAGAGACCTACGAGTCTCTTTGTCTCTCTTATTTATTTATTTATTTATTTATTTTTGAGACAGAGTCTCACTCACTCTGTCACCCAGGCCGGAGTGCAGTGGCGCGATCTTGGCTCACTGCAACCTCTGCCTTCCGGGTTCAAGCTATTCTCTGCCTCAGCTTCCCAAGTAGCTGGGATTATAGGCGCCCGCCACCACGCCTGGCTAATTTTTGTATTTTTAGTAGATGTGTTTCACCATCTTGGCCAGGCTGGTCTTGAACTCCTGACCTCGTGATCCACCTGCCTCAGCCTCCCAAAGTGCTAGGATTACAGGCGTGAGCCACTGCACCCGGCCCTCTTTTATTTTCTTGAGACAGGATCTCGTTCTGCTGCCCAGGCTGGAGTGCAGTGGCATGATATGGCTTTCTACAGCCTTGATCTCCTGGGCTCAAGCAGTCCTCCTACCTTAGCCTCCTGAGCAGCTGGGACTACAGCTGCCTGCCACCATGCCTGGATAATTTTTAAATTTTTTGTGGAGATAGGGTTTCACTCTGTTACCCAGGCTGGTCTCAAACTCTTAGGCTCAAGCTGTCCTCCTGTCTCAGCCTCCCAAAGTGCTGGGATTACAGGCGTAAGCTACTGCACCTGGCTGAGACCTGCAATTCTTTAGAAGCTTAAAATTATCCTAGGTTTTTTATTTTAAGCTTGGAAAGGCCTTCTTAGGCCAGGTGTCATGGCTCAATGCCTGTAATCCCAGCACTTTGGGAGGCCAAAGCAGGAGGATTGCTTGAGCCCAGCAGCTAAAGTCCAGCCTGGACAACAGGGTAAGACCTCGTCTCTACAGAAAAATTTTAAAATTAGCCAGACAGACCGGGCGCGGTGGCTCAAGCCTGTAATCCCAGCACTTTGGGAGGCCGAGACGAGCGGATCACGAGGTCAGGAGATCGAGACCATCCTGGCTAACACGGTGAAACTAAAAAAAATACAAAAAACTAGCCGGGCGAGGTGGCGGGCACCTGTAGTCCCAGCTACTTGGGAGGCTAAGGCAGGAGAATGGCGCAAACCCGGGAGGCGGAGCTTGCAGAAGCTGAGATCTGGCCACTGCACTCCAGCCTGGGCGACAGAGCGAGATTCCGTCTCAAAAGAAAAAAAAGAAAATTAGCCAGACATGGTAGCACATGCCTGTGGTCCCAGTTTCTCAGGAGGCTGAGGTGGGAGGATCGCTTGAGTCCTGGAGGTCGAGGCTGGAGTGAACCATGATTGTGCCACTGCCCTCCAGCCTGGGTGACAGAGCGAGTCCCTGTCTCAAAGATTAAAAAATAAATAAAAATGAAAGGCCTGGCCGGGCACGGTGGCTCAAGCCTGTAATCCCAGCACTTTGGGAGGCCGAGACGGGTGGATCACCAGGTCAGGAGATCGAGACCATCCTGGCTAACACGGTGAAACCCCGTCTCTACTAAAAAATACAAAAAACTAGCCGGGCGAGGTGGCGGGCACCTGTAGTCCCAGCTACTTGGGAGGCTGAGGCAGGAGAATGGCGTGAACCCGGGAGGCGGAGCTTGCAGTGAGCCGAGATCTGGCCACTGCACTCCAGCCCGGGCGACAGAGCGAGACTCCGTCTCAAAAAAAAAAAAAAAATGAAAGGCCTTAGCAGAACTGTTTTAGTCTGTATAACAACTGTAAGAGCCCTCAGATGAACTTTTGATCTCCCCCTTCAGATCATGTCATTCGTCTTTTTAAAGTCACCCCTTTCCCACTCATGTCAATGGATATAGTATCCTTTTCTGTCTTTGGTCAGTGTAATGCAGTGTGGCCACTCTGTTTTAAACAGTAACTGTCACAGGGGAGGATGTGCACTCACCTGGTTTCCATGGGTCCCAGAGGGAAGCTTCCCCTCTCTTTTCCCTCTCCCTGGTTTTTATTTGGTTTAATGTTTTCATTAAAGCATCTCAGACATTCTCATTTATCTGAAGTCCTTCACAATTGTACCGCATTGCTTAGTTTGGGGTCTTTGATGTTTGATGTCACAGAAGGAATTTTGGGGGAAGAGTGTGCAGAAAGAAACCCATTGAAAGCTCAGGGTTTTCTTTAAACTTCCAGATTCTTTTAAAGCAAGTTCGAAGTGTCATCCTTAGTCATTTATTTGTTCATGTCGGCCTTGAGAGAATTGGCTGCATTCTTGCTGTGCTCTGCAGAGCAGCCTTCCACCCCTGCTCAGCAGGAGGTACTCAAAGCTGTTGTAAGGGAGAGGGCAGGCTGCTCCCCACAGAGCAGGACAAGCAGAGGCCATGATGCTGGCACCAGACCAAGGACAGCACAGGAGCCTCGGGCTGCTTCTTGGCATCAAGGGCACTCCACAGTGGGAGTCTAGTAAAAGTTGCTGCTCCCTTCTCAGTGTTTCCTGTAGCTCTACTTTTTCACACCCACCCTGCCCCACATAGTCCACCTGCAGCCTGACTGACTCCTAATTATCCTCGAGGCCTTGCCTTTACATATTTCCTCTGAGAGGTCTTTCCTGACACACACAGATACAGGTCTTGCCATGCCGGGTGGGACGTGCCTCCTCGCTCGTCTCTTTGGTGTTCATGATGGTGAGGACCTGTGTCTGTTGCATTCGCCAGCCCCTGCCACAGAACTGGCACATTCTAGGATTCAGTGAACACTTGGTGAAGGAGTGAGGGAATGGAAGCGCCTATTGCGTGCAGGACCTAGTAGCCAGCCTAAATGAGAAAATTTAGCCTCGAGGTTATTTTAGTACAGTAGGGAAGACCATCAGTATTCTTGGCCATGGAAATAATTAAGGGGGGAAAAAAGGTTCTAAAGTATATAGGAAAAGTATAAATTCAATACAAGTTGGGAAATCAGCACCTAGATAAGACTAGAGGGTCTGGCCCTCAGCTTTGTAGGCTCAAAAATGTTTTTTTAATATACATAGCTGTCAGTTGGAAGCAGATTGACTTAAATTCACAAGAGCTACTTTATGAATAATCAAATGGTGAGTTTTGGCTGGGTGTGGTGGCTCATGCTATAATCCCAGCATTTTGGGAGGCCAAGGCAGGAGGATCACTTGAGTCTAGGAGTTCGAGACCAGCCTGGGCAACAGTAAGACCTCATCCCCCCTCTATGAAAAGTAAAATTAGCCAGGCGTGGTGGCGCATGCTGTAGTCCCAACCCCTCGAGAGGCTGAGATGGGTGGATCGTTTGGGCCTAGGAGGTTGAGGCTATAAGTGAACCAGGGTTACGCCACTGCATTCCAGCCTGGGCAACAGCAAGACCCCGTCTCACCTGGTCATGAGCTTCCTGACTGGGGAAGAAAAATATGACCTCTCTCCCAAGCAAACCTGTTGGGAAGCCTGATTACCAATAGAGCAGGCTGCTTCCCTGCTGTGTGTCCCTGCCCTTTCCAGATCCTGACCCTCAGCACGTGGATAATGACTCATTTATTTACTTTTCCCCAGAAATTGGTATGTCTTGTAAGGACAGGGACTTGGTCCTTTTTCCTGCTGTACACTAGGGACTGCATGGTCACTGAGTCACTGGTGCATGGTTGGTGCTCAGTAATGTGTCTGATGAAGAGGGTGAGATGATCAGTGCTGGTGGTGGTGTCGTGCACTGTGGCCTCATGCAGCTCTTTCCACCACCCTTGCCCCACAGATTCATTCTGGGAAGGTCTAGAGCTGCCTGTTACCTGTTAGAATGAAATGTTTGGACTTTGGGTGGCCAAGGCTGGTGGATCACTTGAGGCCAGGGGTTTGAAACCAGCCTGGCCAACATGGTGAAACCCCATCTCTACTAAAAAAAAAACCTCCAAAATTAGCCAGCACGGTGGTGGGCACCTGCAATTCCAGCCACTCGGGAGGCTGAGGCAGGAGAATCTCTTGAACCAAGGAGGTAAAGGTTGCAGTGAGCCAAGATCGCACTGCTGCACTCCAACCTGGGCGACAGAATGAGACTCTGTCTCAAAAAAAAAAAAAAAAAAAATTGGATCAGGAGTCTGTAAGTCAGTAAAAGCATGAATTGAGTGCCTAGTATATACTGAGGCCTTTGCTAAGAACACTGTTACTGAGTTGGTCCCTTTTGAAGACTCGTTTTCCAAAATGCACTAAACATTGCGTTCTTCCCAGTGTAAACATGAGTGAGCCCAGTGTGGAACCGAAATCATCCCAAGGATGACAATTCAGTGTGAATCTCTCAGCATTTATGAGTCTGATTGAGCTCTGATAGGAATGAGGGCTGTGTCTTTGGAGCACTCCCGCAGAGGAGGGGCCTATGCTGCTCAGGGAGGGGATGTTGTGTCACGGTGACTTCCCGGCAACACTGTGTAGACTTGGTGATTCAGCCCAAAGGCACTTGCAGGACTCTAAACACTGAGGGCCTGAGTTGGCAGGAGCAGTTAACTGGCTCACACTGCTGAAAGCCAAGGCTGGCAGGGCCACGATTGAGCCTGGCGCCTAGAAGCCATCATCTGGTTCAGAAATGGGCCCAGTACATTGTTGTTGCTGTTGACACAAAAGCAGCCTTGTTGTGACTCCTTACAAACCCATCCAGATTGATGGGCCTGGGCCAGGGCCCTGACAGCAGCACTCTTTACACCAACCAGGAGGCAGGAAGCCAAATTACTAAAGATAAATGTTTGTCATTCAGTGACCCAAGGGAGATTTAAATGGATTTCCCAAACACGAACCACCTTGGATCCTAGTGATTGTCCTGAGGTTTTGCCATGAATTGGCCCTCAGTTAGGGGCTAAGGGTAGCTGGAAAGACGGTTTGCAGTTGCCAAGCACAGAATGTTCTTCAGATGGAGGGCTCCTAGGGACAGGAGGAATTTGCTCTGGTTGAGTTTTGAGCTGAGCCATTTACTGCCCTGAGGGGGCAAAGGGTGAGGCTCACAGCTGTGTTCTTCTTTCAGGCGAAGTGGTGAACACCCATGGCCCGGTGGAGCCTGACAAGGACAATATCCGCCAGGAGCCCTACACCCTGCCCCAGGGCTTCACCTGGGATGCCTTGGACCTGGGCGACCGTGGTGTGGTGAGTGGGCCCTCAGAAAGTTACACCTGCGGGTAGGAGCCACTTTCACAGTAAGCCCTGCAGTCTCACCGAGACCACGTCTCCTCGAGCCGTAGAGAGCTGAGCCAAGGAGGTCTGAATAGACCCCCTTCTGTAACTTCCTGGGGTAAGGCCAAGACTCCACATAGATAGCTCTTAGCTTTTCTGGCAGGTTGAAAGTTAACCTCTATAGCTCCCCAGCGTGGATACCTGTTTTTCATTTATTCTTTTTTGTTCATTCATTTATTTCCTTGTTTTCTTTCTAGTCTGTCTCCTGACTAGAGCAGCTGGGGCTGCTAAATGAGGCCCTGTCCTCCCCTTTCCACCCCGGCCACCCAGAGCCCCTTGTTTTGACCTGAGGGATTTATTTCCCTTGTAAAGAATGATGAAAATGTCGCCTGGCAAATCCCACCACTTTGAGAGGCCGAGGCAGGTGGACCATGAGGTCAGGAGTTTGAGACCAGTCTGACCAACATAATAAAAGCCCATCTCTACTAAAAATACAAACAATTAGCCAGGTGTGGTGGTGCACGCCTGTAATCCCAGCTACTCGGGAGGCTGAGGCAGGAGAATCATGTGAACCTGGGAGGGGGAGGTTGCAGTGAACTGAGATTGCACCACTGCACTCCAGCCCAGGCGACAGTGCGAGACTCTTTGTCTCAAAAAAAAAAAAATTCTGTTGACATTTTCTTTTTTTTTTTTTTTTTGAGACGGAGTCTTGCTCTGTTGCCTGGGCTGGAGTGGCAGTGGCATCCTCTCAGCTCACTGCAGTCTCCACCTCCTGGGTTCAAGCGATTCTCCTGCCTCAACCTTCCGAGTAGCTGGGAATACAAGTGAGTGCCACCACACCCAGCTAATTTTTATATTTTTAGAAGAGGCGGTGTTTCACCATGTTGGCCAGGCTGATTTTGAACTCCTGACCTCAGATGATCCTCCCGCCTCGGCCTCCCAAAATGCTGGGATTACAGGCATGAGCCACTGTGCCTGGCCTTTTATTTATTTATTTATTTTGAGACAGAGTCTGGTTCTGTTGCCCAGGCTGGAGTGCAGTGGCACGATCTTGGCTCACCCCAACCTCTGCCTGCCGGGTTCAAGCGATTCTCCTGCCTCAGCCTCCCGAGTAGCTGAGATTACAAGCATCTGTCACCGTGCCTGGCTAGTTTTTGTGTTTTTAGTAGAGACGGGGTTTCACTATGTTGACCAGTCTGGTCTCTAACTCTTGACCTCGTGATCTGCCCGTCTGGGCCTCCCAAAGTGCTGGGATTACAGGCGTGAGCCACTACGCCCAGCCTTTTGTTTTTTGTTTTTTTTTTTTTTTTTTTTTGAGGTGCAGTCTTGCTGTCTTTCAGGCTGGAGTGCAATGGCACCATCTCGGCTCATGCAACCTCCGACTCCTGGGTTCAAGCAATTCTCCTGCCTCAGCCTCCCCAGTGGCTGGGATTACAGGCGTCTGCCACCACACCCAGCTAATTTTTTTATTTCTTAGTAGAGATGGGGTTTCATTTCATTGGCCAGGCTGGTCTTGAACTTCTGACCTCAGGTGATCTGCCCTCCCGAAGTGCTGGGATTACAGACTTGAGCCACCACACCTGGCCAACAGAATTTTTTAGTACCAAAGTTGGGCCAGCAGATGGAGATAGCTGAGAAGGCAGAAAAAGGCCTTTGTGGCTAGGTGTGGTGGCTCACACCTGTAATCCCAACAATTTGGGAGTCTAAGGTGGGAAGATCGCTTGAGCCCAGGAGTTCAAAATCAATCAGCCTGGTCAATATAGTGAGACTGCCCCCCCTACAAAAGAAAAAATAATAATAATTAGCCTGGCATGGTAGTATGCACCAGTAGTCTCAGCTACCCAGGAGGCTGAAGTAGGAGGATCGCTTGATCCCAGGAGTTGGAGGCTGCAGTGAGCCATGTTCACACCAGTGCACTCTGGCCTGAGTAACAGAGTGAGACCATATCTCGAAAAGAAAGGAAAAAAAGGCCTTTGTTTGAGCCAGATGGTAAAAATGAGACAATATGGGAAATAGCAGTGACTCTCCGTGGAGTAATTTCTTGACTAGCTTTGAGAGTCATCCCTGCACAGCACTTCACAGAAGTCGAGACCAGTGGCTCTCCCCTGTTGATGGCGCAGAATGATGAAGTGGTTGGTTAGGTGGCATTCTCGGTCTGCCACTCTGCTACGTGATGGCTCCGTTTTCTACTCTAACTAGGGTGCTTGCTCCAAGAGTTCCTACCATGCCAGGGGGCAGAGGGATTTGTGAGACTCCACGTCGTTTTTGGTGGTTTGCTTCATCCTTCTGAAAAGCCTAGAGCCCCAGGGTATTGGAGTGGGTCTCCTTCCTGGCAGAATACCTCCAAGTGAGCTGCTTATTTCTTCACAGCTGAAAGAACTATACACCCTCCTGAATGAGAACTATGTGGAAGATGATGACAACATGTTCCGGTTTGATTATTCCCCAGAGTTTCTTTTGTGGTAAGTTGTAGGGGCTTTCTTGAGGTTCTTGAGGGCAAGGTGTAGAGCAGAACCACCACAGGGCACCAGAGTTTTTTTCATCCCTGCCAGGGGCCAACCTTTGAATGGCAAATTAGTGTGTCATTTTTGAGTTCCTGCATCTGAAGGAGACTTGCTTTCACTGGCGCTTAGAATTGCAGCCTTGTTTAAGACAATTGACTGGGTGAGGGAGACCTTCGTAGAGTTGGTACCCAGGGAAGAGGTATTCATTGTCTGGTGACTTTATATAAGAAAGGAAAGCGCATGAGACCTACTAAGACTGAAAGAAAAGAAGGCACATTTTCTATCTAGTTCCTGAGCATGCTCAGTTGTATAGCCTTTCCTGGCTGAGCCATCCACCTGCCCAGGCCACGTTTAATATCCAGGAAGAGAGAGGCATGGGCCGAAATAGAGAGGGACTACCTGAAAGGGAAGGAAGAATTTGCACCAGAAGGAGGGAGACGGAGACCAGAGCTCCAGGGTTGCCACAATCAGCTCTCAACCACGGGACCCACCGTCCTTTGAACCAAAGATGCCAGTCCCTTGGTTCAAGCTGTCATAATGAACACACAGAAATTGGATCAGGCATGAAATCCTCAGTATGATAACCTTGGGTTGGATGAGTAACTAGGCCAAGTGGGATGAGTAGCCAGAAATGGTGATGGCTCGATTCTGTGTGTCCAGGAGGGCTTGGCCCTAAAGAGAATTCAGCTGTTAACCCCCAGGGAGGTGGTAGCACCAGGTCAAAACCAAATTTGACTGTGGAACCCAAACAGCTTGTCCAGCCTGCTGGCAAGCAGCACAACAACCCCAGCCTCTCTTTTCCAGGGCTCTCCGGCCACCCGGCTGGCTCCCCCAGTGGCACTGCGGGGTTCGAGTGGTCTCAAGTCGGAAATTGGTTGGGTTTATTAGCGCCATCCCAGCAAACATCCATATCTATGACACGTAAGCACCAGCACCTACCCCCAACCCCCACAACACCGCCATCCTGCTTGGTCTGGGAGGGAGGAGAAAAAGGCTGAACAATGTGCCCCATTAAAGAAAGAGGGACAGTCTCAGGAAGGGAGGACGCCCAGCTGCTGGGACTGCAGATTCATCTTAAGAACCACCTGTTCTGCTCAGAGTCCCAGTTGGCTCCCTTGTTCGTGGCCCAGGTTGGAAGGAGCCCAGCCTGAGACCTGGTGTGCCTGCTCAGCAGAGGCTTGTTTTTATTATTTTGTAAATTTTATAGAGGCAAGGTCTTGCTATGTTGCCCGCGCTGGTCTCAAACTCCTGAGCTCAAGCGATCCACTCACCTCTCTCTCCCAAGAGTGCTGGGATTATAGGCGTGAGCCACCGTGCCTGGCCAGAGGCTTTTTTTAGTCTCACTGTGTTGCCCAGGCTGGAGTGCAGTGGTGCAAATCTTGGTTCACTGCAACCTCCACCTCCAGGGTTCAAACAATTCTCCTGCCTCAGCCTCCCAAGTAGCTGGGATTACAGGCATGCACCACCATACCTGGCTAATCAGAGGCTCATTTTTGAATGCCTGTACCAGTCACACATGGAAGCACTTGAACAGCAGCAGAAATGGGCCAGAGCCAGTGTGACCCAGATTCAGATAGTCCTTGGGGCCTGTGATCTCTGCTCTTCATTTTCCCTGGAAGTGTCCAAACCATCTGCCTGCCACAGTCTTCAGGGCTTATCAGCTGTGTTATTGAGGGAATCAGAACCTTGAAACCCTAGAATTGCCTTGACCTGCCCCACGGGTTCCCTGTGCTGCTTCCCTGCATGCTAACGGTGGGATTCCCCAGCCGACTCCTAGGGATTCGTCAGGGAGATGCTGGTGGTGCCTTCAAATAAAGGCGTTTGCTTGAGTCCCACCTTCCTTTGGAAATAGACTCTGTTGAAGTGAGGCAGGCTCCTGGCCTGGTGGAGCGTGGTGGGGAGTCCCAGTACTGAGTGCAGGTGGCAGCTAAAAGGACACCTGTGCTGCAGACCTGGTCTTTCCAGGTGTGGCTGCACGTGCTTGAGGGGATCACCATTCCCTTCCCTGTTAAAAACCTTGTCACCTGGATGTTTCCCCTCTTAGAGAGAAGAAGATGGTGGAGATCAACTTCCTGTGTGTCCACAAGAAGCTGCGTTCCAAGAGGGTGGCTCCAGTCCTGATCCGTGAGATTACCAGGCGGGTTCACCTGGAGGGCATCTTCCAAGCTGTTTACACTGCTGGGGTGGTACTACCAAAGCCCGTTGGCACCTGCAGGTAAAACTGTCTTCCTGTAAGTCCTTTAAAATACTGGTGTCTGCACTCTACTTGAGGAGCATGGGCCACTGTGAGTCACAGCTCCGCCTTTAGCGTCCCACCTCTGGAGTATCTGGTAAGGCGGGCACCTGGTGCCTGCAGGAGCCAGATTGGGAGTGTGGAGAGGGCAGGAGGGTTGTAGGGATGGCAGACTGGCAAGTCTGTCCCTACCTTGTCTGGAGGGCTCTTGGTGTCTGCTGGCTGCTGCTATTTGGAGATGGTGGGGGGCGGTACTGATGGTTTGTGTTTGTTTTTAGGGATGAGCTCAAATCTGGATTTTTATGGGAAATGTCCTAAAATTTTACATGGTTGGCTCAATTTGTTTTGAATATTGTGTGCACCAAATAGAGCAAGTCTGCTATGTGATCTAAGGGCAACCTCTGCCTTAGAAAGTTGTTTGAAACAATTGAATAATCTCTCCCTAGAGAACTTTAAAAGTAAAAACACCAGGTGTGAAGGCAGAAGAGTAGGGAGGAGGGTGAGTGCCTCTGCCATCATCTTCTGGGCATGACTATAGCCCTTTTCCGTTGACTTGATTCTAGGAGTGAGGATTGCTCTCTCCAGACAACCGCTGTAGCAAAGGAATAGTTTTGGAAATTGAGCAAGAAAAATAGGGAGAAAGAAGATCTAGGAGGAGCTTTGGCAGCACTCACTGGGGGGAGGCTGGAGAGCAAGGTGACACCACTGGCTCCGGAGGCACCTGATGTGTCTCTCACGCCACCTGCTGGCCAGCTGGGGTCTCCCTGCCATTGTCCTTGTAATAGGGATTGGCCAGAACCCTGAGGACAGGACATTTGTGTCCCCACAGGTATTGGCATCGGTCCCTAAACCCACGGAAGCTGATTGAAGTGAAGTTCTCCCACCTGAGCAGAAATATGACCATGCAGCGCACCATGAAGCTCTACCGACTGCCAGAGGCCAGTGGTGCCCCGGGTGGTGGACAGAGAACAGAGAGAGGGCAAGGAGAGCCTGGCTGTCAGCAGGAGAGAAGGGCTCTGGGTGGAGAGGGGCTTTCTCCTTCCGGAAAAGTGAACCAGCCCATAGTCTTCAGATTTCCTGGACTTTCTATTTCTGTTATCTGCAGCAGGATTTTATTTTAGTTTAACTTTCTCAGTTCCTCTGAGCCTGTGCCTGGACTAGCTTCTCTGCCATCTGTTGAAAGGCTCAGAGAACACCTATTCCCTGTAATTTTAGCCTAAGTAAAGCTTAAATAGAATGATGGATCCACTTAGTGAACCTTCACACACATGGCAGCGTGTTCCAAAGCCCTGCGCAGATGCACTCGAGGGTCTGTGGCACCCCTCTGCCAGGCCAGGTGAGGGGTGACCTGAGCTTGTGAGGGAAGCCCTGATTTCTAATCCCAATTTCCCTACCCAGATTTGGCACTGAAGGACTGGGCAGCTTTAAAGTGAGCTGCTTTTCTCTTCTGGGTCTCAGTTTTCCTAGTTTCCCAAAGAAACAAATGCTCCAACTGTGGCTGGCTTCAGGTAGGGAGTCTTTTTTTTTTTTGAGACAGGGTCTCTCTCTGTTGCCCAGGCTGGAGTGCAGTGGCAGTCACAGCTCACTGCAGCCTTGACCTCCCAGACTCAAGTGATTCTCCCACCTCAGCCTCCCAAGTAGCTGGGACTACAGGCGTTCGCCACCATGCCCAGCTAATTTTTGTTTCTATAGAAACGGGGTTTTGCTGCTGGGCACGGTGGCTCACGCCTGTAATCCCAGCACTTTGGGATGCTGAGGTGGGCAGATCACAAGGTCAGGAGAGCGAGACCATCCTGGCTAACACGGTGAAACTCCATCTCTAGTAAAAATACAAAAAATTAGCCGGTCATGGGGTGGCAGGCGCCTGTAGTCCCAGCTACTCAGGAGGCTGAGGCAGGAGAATGGCATGAACCGAGGTGGTGGAGCTTGTAGTGAGCCGAGAACGCACCACTGCACTCCAGCCTAGGCGACAGAGCGGGATTCCGTCTCAAAACAAAAGAAAACAAAGAAACAGGGTTTTGCCATATTGCCCAGGCTCATCTGAACTCCTGGGCTCAAGTGATCCACCTACCTCCAGCCTCTCAAAGTGCTGGGATTCCAGGTGTGAGCCACCTTGCCCATCCCAGTAGGGATTCTTAAAATCCCTTCTCCGGCCGGGCGGTGGCTCACGCCTGGAATCCCAGTACTTTGGGAGGCTGAGGCGGGCAGATCATGAGGTCAAGAGATTCACTACCAACATGGTGAAACCCTGTCTCTACTAAAAACAAAAATTAGCTGGGTGTGGTACGTGCCTGTAGTCCCAGCTACTTGAGAGGCTGAGGCAGGAGAATCACTTGAACCTGGGAGGCAGAGGTTGCAGTGAGCCGAGATCGCACCACTGCACTCCAGCCCAGCGACAGAGCAAGACTCCGTCTCAAAAAAAAAAAAAAAAGAGGAAAATCCCTTCTTTTTCCTCGAAGTGCTTCTGGTTGGCCATCAGTCCACACAGTTACTGAGTTCCTGCTGACGTGAGGGCTGCCTGCCTGGACTTCTCAGCCTCTAAACAGGATTGATCACTCTGAAATCAGGCTAATCCACCAATGGATTGAGGTCATTAGTGTCCCATCTTGAGAGGCTGCTGCAGTACCGTCAGACACTGCCAAAAGCACAGGTTTGGGGGACTGTGGTATGTGTCTTCTGCCTTCTGTTCTCATGACAAATCTGCCCTGCGTTCTAGGCCGGTGGGCAGGCGGGCAGAGAGCATTCTTAGAGTGCTGCGGCAGCCAGAAGACTGCCTCACCCATATCGGGGTGGAAACCCCAGCATGGCTGTGTTTTCAGTCCAGGATTTGAGGTATCATTATGGGAGCTGCCATGTAGAATGAGGTCAGTGAGTGTTCCCTAGAGAGACGAGGATTTAGCAAGGAATTTTAGAGGCTGGAGGTTCTAGAACTGAAGTTTTAAAAGCAATTCTTGCACTGGGAAGCATTGTGTCAGGCACTGACTGAGGCCTGTAAACTGTGACACCACCCTGTTTGCAGATTGCCCCAAGCCCACCTTTGTGTATCTGAGCCTCTGGGGATGTTCTACCAGCCCGGTATTTGCACCACAGCATCATATGGTTTCATTCCACTGAAGCATTTTTCTAGCAAAAGCAGCTGCCAGGTGGGACGCTGACTGGGGATGAAATCCTGGGAGTATGCTGCTTTTCTTCTGCATTTAACTTGCAGCCATGGCTCTCTGGGAAGTACTGGTGTAACAGTGTCTGGGCGGGCAGACCCTGGCTAGGCCCTGGGGTCTGTGAAGTGCTCTAAGTCTAGCAGAGAGCAAGCAGTGAGTATGGGATGGCATCAGTCACAGTTCAGTAAGAAAGAAGCCTGTGAGGACCGCTGGGCTGCATGGGCAGAAGGTACAGCTAGAAAGGCCACCCTGGCCCAAGGGTAGAAAGTCTTGTGCTCTGGGGCGGGGAGTTTGAAACAAGGGTGGAGCATGAAGGGTTGTGTTTTCTTAGGAAGTCAGTCTGGGGCCATGTGGATGATTGATTGATGCAGCAGCCTGAGTCCTCCTGGACTAGGAGGGAAAGGGCCAGAAGATATGGAAGAGGCAGGCCCTGTGCCTGAGGAGAGATGCACGGGGGTGCAGGGAGCCTCCAAATGACCAGGGATTCTCTCTTGAGGGCCTGATCTATCCTCACCATGGATAGACCCAGGGTGATCAGCTCATCTCACTCCATCTCTTCTGTCTTGCTTCCAGACTCCCAAGACAGCTGGGCTGCGACCAATGGAAACAAAGGACATTCCAGTAGTGCACCAGCTCCTCACCAGGTACTTGAAGCAATTTCACCTTACGCCCGTCATGAGCCAGGAGGAGGTGGAGCACTGGTTCTACCCCCAGGAGAATATCATCGACACTTTCGTGGTGGAGGTGAGTCAGGGAGTGGTGTTCCAGGCCTCTAATGCGTTCCCAGAGAGGCATCCCCCTGAGTGGCCGGGTTCCCAGGGCTTGAGTGTTGGCACCCTAGACTTCCTTGACCATCCGTGTTTGGTCCTCCCTAAAAACAAGGAGTTGGTGCTTGAATTTGCTGAAAAGATATCTTTGGATCTGGCTTGAGCCCTTCTCCCCCTCTGCCCCACTTTGATAACACAGAATAGAGAGAACTGAGCCCCCCTTAATCCTTCAGGAAAGCCTGCAATTCCCTGCCTGTCCCAACTTAACCCAGTGCTGACCAGACGTAGGAGACACAGTCTAGGGGGGATGTGAACTGCAAGAAGAGGTCCCTGGTGGTGCCCCTGCTGGGAAAGAGGTTTGGCAGTTTCAGTCTACGATCACGGCTCTGTCCTCAAGTGCCCTGAGCCAACATCCCTCCTCCTCCCCACATGTCCTGTTGCAGTTTCCACCTGTTTATCTAGAGGGGCAGAGCTGCCTGAAGGCAGAGCAAAAGAAAACATTTTGTTCCTGGGCCACAGTGCCACTGTACATGCTTGACATTGCCTCTTTATTGCCTTCCCTTCAGAACTCAAACGGAGAGGTGACGGATTTCCTGAGCTTTTATACGCTGCCCTCCACCATCATGAACCATCCAACCCACAAGAGTCTCAAAGCTGCTTATTCTTTCTACAATGTTCACACCCAGACCCCTCTTCTAGACCTCATGAGCGACGCCCTTGTCCTCGCCAAAATGGTGAGGAGCAGACCAGGGGCTCTCTGGAGATGTGCGGGGAAGGGGCAGTGGAGCCATGGTGAGCACAGCTCCCGGGACGCAGCCTCCCATGGGCTGGGAGGCTCCGAGTCCTCCTCACCTCCTGTTCTGCTTAGGCAGGGTTCCTGCAGTTTTTAGCCAGAAACTCAAAACTCGGAAGGAGCAAGGAGCATCCGAAGTGAAGGCATTGAACTCCTCCTGATTCATTTCAGTGAGTTTCATTCTCACAGGAGGCACCACCAAGGAGCCTGAATAGCCAGGCCTGCCCTGGGAGGACACGGGTTCTCCTCACAGCTTTCCCAGCGTGGGAAAGGGGTGATTGCTCTCTGTCGTGGTGAGTCATCGGAGTGTCTGACTGCCAGCAGCGGCTGGAGAGCCCGTCGGTCAGTGCTTCGCTGTGGGTTCTGGTGACCTCCTGCACCCAGCCCAGCCTGCTGTGGGCAAGCTGGTCCCTGCCCTGTGAGAGCTTCTGCTCCAGTTGGTGAGGTTTAGGAAGCATCTTCACAGTCTCCAAGCGACACAGCAGGTGTCACATAACATGAGGTGCACTGAGGGCCTGAGAGTTGGAGTATACATGGAGTAAGGAAGCAACACAAACCCCAGGTAGCTGATGGGAGCCAGCTTCTCAGAGGAAGGGGCTCAGGGCTTGGACTCCAGAGAGGACTGTGGAAATGACTAGAGTTTCAGGGAGGCATAACCAGGAATAGCAAGAGCCCCAGTCTGGACACTGAGTACCTATGTGTATACTCAGAGGGAGACTGGGCAGAGGCCAGGCTGGAGGGGGCGTCCAGAGTGTCCTGAGAACCGCCTGGAGAGCGGGGAGTAATGCAGAAGCAGCAGAGCTTCTGAGGGAACCTTGTTCTTGTGGCTGCCCACAGGACAGCTTTGAAATGGCAGCAAAGGGTTAGGAAGGAGGCCATCCCCACCTGTCCTCACCTGTTCTTGTTTCTCCCTGCTGCTTTGCAGAAAGGGTTTGATGTGTTCAATGCACTGGATCTCATGGAGAACAAAACCTTCCTGGAGAAGCTCAAGTTTGGCATAGGGGACGGCAACCTGCAGTATTACCTTTACAATTGGAAATGCCCCAGCATGGGGGCAGAGAAGGTGGGCACCATGCAGCCAGAGTCCAGGCTGCCCAACCCAGGGAATCAGTGTCTCCAGCAGAAACCGGGCCATGGGTTGGGGAGACAGCTGCAGTCTGGGTCCTTGTTACCTGGAGTTGAGCCTTTGAAAATGCCCTCCCTCCCATCCTGGCTAACACTGTGAAACCCCTTCTCTACTACAAAAAAAAATTAGCCAGGCGTGGTGGCAGGCACCTGTAGTCCCAGCTACTCGGGAGGCTGAGGCAGGAGAATGGCGTTAACCCGGGAGGCGGAGCTTGCAGTGAGCCGAGATCGCGCCACTTCACTCCAGCCTGGGCGACAGAGCGAGACTCCGTCTGAAAAAAAAAAAAAAAAAAAAAAGAAAGAAAAGAAAATGCCATCCCTCTGCCCTCTGCTGGCCAGACCAGCAGGTCAGCGTTCCCCTCTCAGCAACTGGTGTGAGGATGGCAGAGGGGACAGAGCCACACAGGAGCAGGAAGGCCTTCCCACCTGAGGGAACCGTGGAAGTTGAGTTGCCCACAGTTTGCCAGGAGGGTAGGGCTGCGGGGTCTCTGAGGAGGTTTCCTCTCCCGAGCTGCTGCCCTCTTCCTGGCATGACACTTTCTTAGCCCTTCCTCCCCCAGCGCCACAGGGGACATGGGGGTGAGCTGGAGCGTGGACCAGTTTTCCCTGGGAGGTCTGATGGACATGTGAACCCTGGTGTGGAGGTTGAGCACGGGGCCAGCTGGGTGTGAGTCTGCTCCCACAGCACAAGTGGTGGACCCCGGGCCCAGCCAGTCGGAACTTCGGGGATCAGGGGTGTGGGAGAGTCTTTGGACCACTGTCGACTCAGCTCTGCCTCTCCCTGTTGGCTCTCCTAGGTTGGACTGGTGTTACAATAACCAGTCACCACTGAGATTCTGGATAAAGCCACTGAAAATTCGAACCAGGAAATGGAACCCCACCACTGTTGGTCCAATTTTCACACACGTGAGAATCCCTGGCAAAGGGAGCAGAACTGAACCGGCTTTACCAAACCGCCAGCGAACTTGACAATTGTATTGCGATGGCGTGGGCTGCGTGACGTCACCTCCGGTCGTGTCTCTGGTCTCCGTGTTTTCCAGTTAATTACATCTTCATGCAGCCGTGATCAAGGGAATGTAACTGCTGAAAACTAGCTCGTGATTGGCATATAATGGAGTTAACGGGTGAATAATAAAAGTATATATATATATTATATATATATAAATATTTTAAATATCTTTCATGTTCCAAATGTGCAAGGATGTTTGGTCTTTAATGAAAAGCTGAATCCAGATCATTCCTCAGAATGAGGACCCGAGGACAGTGGCAGACAGACGCGTTGGCACAGTCATGGTTTCCTCCAGAGGAGACATTGACTTATCTTGGGGAAAAAGAGGATCTGGAGAACCGCATCCAGCTCCCCTTCTGAATCAGCTGGGATGACTGGCTTTGAGAAGGAAGGGAAGGTGGAACAGGCTCAGATCTCACTGGATGGCACATGGAGCTCTTGGCTGGGGCTGACGCTGGGCAGGGACTTTCCTGCAGGGCCAGACCTGCCTGCATTTTGAGACACAGCAATGGGACGGTCCGCAGCAGCAGACCTCATTGATCGAGTCCCTTCTTCCATCCCCTTGACCTGCTCCCTATAGGAAGTCATCCTGCCAACTGATTCAAAAGGGCTCTTTAGCCAGCTGTTGCCAACCTTATAGGGATGAGTCCCCTGTGAGATTTTGCTTTTCCACTGCCTGGGATGACTGGCAGTTTGAAGAGGCCCTTGGACCTCCTTGTAGCATCAGGGACCTTTGGAGACCATATCAGTGTAAGCCCTGCTTAGCTCATCTTAGAGCAAAGAGCCAGCACCCTGATGTCCCCAGGGTGGCTGGGCAGGAGTGGCATGGGGCCAATACCCAGACCCCTTCAGCCACCAGCCCCTGGCCTGTGCCTTCCAACCCATTAGCCATTTCTTGTTGTGCCCCTTTCCAAGATACAGCCTGCAAGTGGCAGCAAGAAGTGGTGATTAGAGGCAGATCTGGACTTGGCAACAGAAATGGTTTCCCATCACCATTGTCTGAGTCTGACTTTTGCTGATGCTGTTTTGTGGATTTTTATGGTAGTGATGGTTGTTGATGCTGCCAGTTTCCCAAAAAATAATCAAGCCTCTGGCCGCATGTCTGTCGATGTAGGCATTCTTGAGTGGTGTTCAGCCACGCGGCCTGGGCAGAATTGGGCTGTGGAATTGTCAGGAACCCACTTCCAGGCTTGGATGTGATTTTTGCTCTAGAGAGAAGCAAGTGGTGGGGAGGAGGTAGCATGACGTGTGGCGTGTGGGGCTTCCTTGCTGCCGTCACCTCTCCACTCATACGGGAATGAAGCCTTAGCCAGGAGGCCAGGCTGAGCCCTGTGCCACTCACCGAAGCCACACTCTGCAGGCCAGCAGGGGCTTGTTTCAGGTTGTGGGTTTTGGTGTGGTTTGTCAGAGGCTAATTCTGCAGAGTTGCCAAAACCAGAAGACGTCGTATGCTTGGGATGGGGGCCGTGCCACCTGTGGGAATGCTGCCCGCTCTGCAGATTGCTGCTAGAGCCAGCAACTTCACTAAGGTGGATTTTCGTCAGAGGCCTGCAGGGGCCTCCCTTTTCCCATTGTTCCTGTGCTGCAAACTGTAGGCCCCAGCAATCGTGACTGACGTTGACTCCTTGACTCCAAGAAACCGAGACCAAAGAAGCTGCTGTTCTTAGCAAGATGCGCACTGCATTCCGCAGACGGGAGGAGTCGGAGAGGCAGGGGGCTTGCTTTCAGCCTCACAGACAACAGTTGCACAGCGCCTCAAGTCCCAGAGTGACTCACCCTGTCCAGACCTTTGAGGATATCAAAGAATAAAGTGCCCAAGTCTTTCCTACCTTGGGGGAACCTGGAACTTGGAAAGGCTCCCTGTCCTAGTCTTGGCCTGTTCTGGGCCAGGTCCCAGCTTGAGCTGCCTCTGAGATTTGGGCTGTGCGGATCTCTGGAGTGAGCTCTGTTTCGGTTGACCCAGGTCATGGAATGGAAACGGTGAGGCCCCAGTGGCTGTTCTGGAAGAAACAGATCTCCTGGCAAAGGCCCAGGCATCTCCTTCACTGAAATCAGGTTCCCTGCTCCTTGGACTCTGCTTTATCTCACGGTGAGAACCCTGCCCAGGTGTGCAGGGGATGGCTTGGGGGCTGCTTGCTGCTCATCTGATTTTTGTCCCAGTAGTCCCTGTGTTCTTCATTCAAACCCTTCTGGGACTTCAGGTCAGAGAGCACCATCCCAGGGGTCAGGGCCTCCCCACAGAAGCCCTGCAGTGTGGTGGCATCATGGCTGGCTTGAACCAAGCAAAGGAAGGACCCTGAAGCCTTCACGCTAACCCTCCTTGAGCAGCCGCTGTTGGAAGGCCCCCTGGGCCTGGCCCCCCCCCGCCACCCAGTCCTCCCAGCTGCCATGTTTCAAAGACGCCTTTACCTCCTGCCTTTGGATTGACTGCATTTGACCATGGACTCCAGTCTGTGTAGGGAGAGCTGAGTAGGAGGCCTCCGCTCCGGATCGAGGTTTGTACAGGGCTCGTTTCCCCACACATGCCTGTTTCTGAAGAGGCTCCTGTCTTATTTGAAGGCCGGCCCACACCCAGCTACTTTAACATCAGGTTTATGGAAAACGTCAGGCCTTCCCCACAACTCCCGTGTAACTGGTATCACTCCCCTACTTGCTGGCTCTCGGAAGCCCAGGGGAGTCCCTGTGCTCCTGAATTCTTTCCCCAGAGATGACCAGCATTTAACCAACCTAAGGGCCCAAAGGCCTTGGATAGCTGCATGGAGCTGTGGTCTAGGAGAGGGAGGGGCACCAGATGCTAGGTCAGGGGAGGGGGCAGGAGTGTCCCTCCCGTCAGTGCCTACCCACCTGTGAGGCAGCCTTCTGACGGCCTGGCCCACATTCCCCAGAACCAGGGGAGGCCTGAGGCTTCAGTTTTGCTCTGCTGCAAAATGAAGGCAGGCCCACAAGCCGACTGCACCTAGGGAGGCTGTTGAGGACAATTTCATTCCATTAAATTAAAAAATACTGACTGGCTGGCAGGCAGGTGCCACATCTGGGAACAGGGACCGGGGAGCTTCACCTTTTTGTCTTGGCTTTTCATTGGGCTGTGGGGGGGGCATCCATTCCCAGGGTGGGGGAGGAAATACCAAATGCATTGTTGTTCTGCTCAATACATCTCACTTGTTTCTAATAAAGAAAGCAGCTGAACAAACCCTTTTGTCCTGGTATTCCTGGTCAGCAGGTGACAGTGGAAGAAACGGAGTGCTGAGGCCTAGGCTGGAGCCATGACGACAGGGCTCGGCCACAGAGGCCCTCAAGCCCGCAGCATCAGGCCAGCTTCCAAAGGCCTTCCTTTAAGGCTGCCCTTCTTCCAGGGCAAAGTTGGTGTTGTCAGACCTTTCCCACCCGCCAGAGACGAGCTGGTATTGACCCAGGTTCACTCCAAGTTAGAGCAGCAGCTGGGCTCTCAACCAGCACCTGAGCACCTCAGTGCAGGAGTCGGCCCAGGCGTCCCCAGCTGAGCACAGAGCAGCCCCCTTGGTCCAGGTCAGCAGTGGCTCCTCCGGTGGAGGTGCAGGCCCCGCGCCTTCCCACTATGCCCAGCTGTCATGTCTCTCCTCCTGCGCCATTGGCCAGGTGGTTCTTTGAGTCACTAGGGGTGCATTTTAACATGGCAAGTTGCTGGGCCCCAGTAGCTGTGTTTAAGACTTCCCATTCCCCCTGTTCTCATCCTCTGGAACTTACCCTTTCCCTGACCCCCTGATCCTTTCAGGTCCATGGCTGGTGCCTCCAAGCCCCTTTCCAGGGAAGCTGACAAGACACAGGACCTGCATGACCCCTCTAAAGCCCCCCAACCTCCCGTCCCAAACCAAGTCACTCAGGCTCCTATGGCCCACGCCTTCTTTCCTGCCCTTAGCTTTGGACTGAGAACATAGCCCTATGTGTGGTTTCCACCCATGGGCCTCTGGGGTAAAAAGCTGTGATTTCGGGCTGGGCGCGGTGGCTCATGCCTGTAATCCCAGCACTTTGGGGAGGCCAAGGCAGGCAGATCACGAGGTCAGGAGATCGAGACCATCCTGGCTAACACGGTGAAACCCTGTCTCTACTAAAAATACAAAAAATTAGCTGGGCATGGTGGTGGGCACCTGTAGTCCCAGCTACTTGGGAGGCTGAGGCAGGAGAATGGTGTGAACCCGAGAGGCGGAGCTTGCAGTGAGCCGAGATTGCACCACTGCACTCCAGCCTGGGCGACAGAGTGAGACTCCATCTCAAAAAAAAAAAAAAAAAAAAAAAAAAAAGCTGTGATTTCTCCCTCACTTCCACTTCCCAGTTCACTTCCTTAAGGACTTTTGCCCTTTTGGCAGGTCAAGGCGGGTGGATCACCTGAGGTCAGGAGTTCAAGACCAGCCTGGCCAACATGGTGAAAACCCGTCTCTACTAAAAATACAAAAATTAGCCAGGCATGGTGGTGCGCGCCTGTAATCCCAGCTACTGGAGAGGCTGAGGCAGGAGAATCGCTTGAACCTGGGAGGCGGAGGTTACAGTGAGCCGAGATTGCGCCACTGTACTCCAGCCTGGGGGACGAGCAAGACTTTGTCTCAAAAAAAAGACTCTTGCCCTTTCAAGGCAGCTTTCTCAGTGTTGGGCCCTCGTCCTAGCCTTCACTCCTTCCTCTTGGTACCATATACGAAACCAGAGAAGCCAAGCAGGATGGGGACCCAGACCCCCCCAGCCAGAGCTGGCTCTGCAGGGGCTAGGCAATGCTAATAGCTCTTCATTTGCTAAAACTGGACTTAGCCTCTCTGTGCCTCCCATCCTGAGGCTGCAGTTTGGCAGCCTGACCCTCCTGACAGCCCGGAGTGCCAGATGCCTGGGCTGCCTGGCCCGGCCCATTCCTTCTGGGCCCTTTTGATTCTGATTATCCTCTTTCAGACAGACAGATTCACCAGAGCCAAATGCCACTCCCAGCATGAAGGAGCGGGGGACACTGCCACTTTCTGCATCCGTTCTTGGAGTTGCTAGAAGGTGGAGTCTGCCCCAGCCTTGTGTTTTGGTTTCTGCAGGGCTTGGGGCCAGTTCAAGGCCTATCCCAGCCCAGTTCCAGGCCACCCTCTGGGGACTAATGTCAAGTTCTGCCCTTGTTCAGTGCCGGCACTGTCGCCTGGCAGAACCTAAAACACCAGGCCTCCACATTGTCACCCTGACGGGGGGTGCAGGATTTTTTCCGGATTCTGTTGTCTAGTGTCCAGTGCGCTCTCCCAGCATTCCTATAGAGGCGGCCCAAGCAGTGTTTCCAGCCTTTGTGTAAAAGGCTGGCTGGCTGGAGGAAGGAAGGAAAGCCCGTGTCCTTGGGATTTGCCCTACTGAGCAGACAGGGGCCTTGAGCCCAGCTAAGCGTGGGAGTGGCAGTCTGTCTGAGGATCCCTCAGACTCCTGTCCCCTCCTCATTCAAGGCCCCTCTGTGTGTTTGTGTGTGTGTGTGTGCGCGCGCGCGTGTGTCGTGGAGAGGCGCTGACCTTGTAAATTGGCATCCTCAGACAGTCTTGTGATACTCGCAGCAGCTTTAAGCCAGGAGCAGGGGTCAGGCTATTTTGAGCTGTGGCATCTCCTGCTGCCACCCCCTGGCTGTCTTAGACAAGTCCATGCCCTGTTGAGGGGAGAGGGCCAAGGGACTCATCCAGCCCTGTCCCTCCTCATGGGCCTGTGGGGGTGGCAGCATAGAGGTGATCAGGGAGTGGCAGTGGTAAAATAAATGAGCTTCTTTATTTTTTAAACTAGATAGGCTCATTCTACTGTCTTCTCCAGGGCTCTTCTATGAAACAGTTACAAACCTACTGCTAGGCCAGGGCAGTGGCTCACACCTGTAATCCCAGCACTATGGAATGCTGGGGCAGGAGGATCACTTGAGGTCAGGAGCTCGAGACCAGCCTGGGCAACATAGGGAGTACCCCCCATCTCTACATAAAATTTAAAAATTAGCCAGGTGTGGTGGCCTGTGTCTGTAGTCCCAGCTACTCAGGAGGCTGAGATGGGAGGATCGCTTGAGCCTGGGAGTTCAAGGCTGCAGTGAGCCGTGATTGCAACATTGCACTCCAGCCTGGGCGATGGAGCGAGACCCTGTCTCAAAAAATAAAAACCAAAACCTACTGCCAGTTTCCCCAGGGCTTCATGCCTCAGCGCTCCCTTCTTGCTTTGAGAAGGGAAGGGGAACTCAGGTTCCAGAGCTGGAGGGAGGAGTCCAGGAAGGCCTAGGGTAAAGGAGGGCTTAGGGGCTAAGCCCGGGGTCCGGGCCAAGTGGGGTGGACTGTTCTCCTCTGGGGGAAGGAGGCTGGGATGGCCCACGGGAGGACAGAGGGGAACTGAGGGCCCACAGGTGTCCTGTTCCCCAAGTCTCCTGGCAGCAACAGGCTTGGCTCCTCATAAGTCACAATGAGGGGCAGGCTGAGGACAGGAGCTGGGGCCATCTCAGGGCCTCAGGGTTGGAGCTCACTGAAGTCACATGAGCACCTGTTGATTCTTCAGAAGGGGCCCAGGCAGCCCTCAGCACTCAGGTGAGACCAGCGCCTGGTGAGTGGGCTGAGTGGGCCAAGTGGGTGGGCTGGGGGCTGGTACTCCCACCATCTGACTCCAGAGGAGAGGGCTCTGCAGGGGATGTGGACTGGCACTCGCAGAACCCCAGGGCGGGTGAGCTGGGCCCTCAGGGGTGCTGGATGCGGATTTGAATGAAGAGCGTAGCTGGTGACAGTGAGGCCCCGTCCTTGGAAAGCAGGTGTATGTGGCGGTACCCTGTGGGGAGGACAGCCAGGCCTCAGGTCCTCTGCGTACCCTGGGGGTCTGGCCCAGCCTGGGCACGCTTCAGGGCAGGAAATTCGAGGCACAAAGGTGAACAGGGTCTGCAGGGCCTGTACCCACATCCCTCTCCATCCCCACCAGCCTCCACCAACCTTGCTTTAGGCTGCTAAGAGGCAGTGTAAACTGGCCCACAAAGTCATTGGGGGAGGTGGCGTCATAATCTTCCACCACAAACCGGACCAGCGCCAGCTCCGGAGCCCGCAGCTGGAACTGCAGGGTCTGCCCCCAGTGGGGGTTGAAGCCTAGGGCACAGGGGTGGCAGTCAGAGCCCCAGGGCCCCAGGATCCACCCTGCACCCCCCTTCGCTCTCTGCAGTCTCCCCCCGACACTTCTGCCAGCAGCTGCCCACCATTGTTGAGCACATAGTCAGTCTCCTGCCGGGCACAGTCTGCGGGCACCCCATGGATCTCAACGCGCACCAGGGGGTCCACAATGGAATGTGGCTTCTCGGCGTTCAGCTTGGGCAGCTGCTGTGCAGTCAGCACCTGTGGGGTGAGGGAGGGAGCAGCTGGGGCCCACGCCCACCTTGGCCATCCCCTGATGGGCCTCAAGCTCAGACCACCCGTCACTTCCAACCTGTCCCCAGCCCCCCTTGCCTTCCTCCACCTCACAAAGAGCCTCTCTAGAACCAGTGTGACCCCAGGCTGGGGCCCGTTCCAGCCTGCTGACCTGGATGCTGAGAGTGGTTCTGGGAGGTCCCGGGTCCTCAGGGTCAAAGGTCGAGTCAGGTTGCCGCAGGCAGGCAGGTTTCAGGACGTAGCCACACTGCCCATTGACCAGGAAGCGGCCGGCATTGAGGTCCATCTCGTAGCCTGGCGTCTGGAAGTTCAAGGCCACTGTGGACACAGCAGGGTCAGAGCAGGGGCTCTTAGCGGCCCTGTTCTCACTACTCAGTTTCAGGGGACTGTATTCCTCTCTACAAAGGGCCTGGGGTCCCACTGTCTGCTCAGTGCTGCTCTGCCCCCACCATGACTTTAGGGGAGAGGGTCATGGACTCAGCCCCCACTGTCACCTGTACTTCCGCCCTGGGATCCCTCCAGGCTGGAAAGTGCTGGAAAAGCCCCCACCCTCAGGGCCAGGCTTGGGTCAGAGCCAGGGGTCTGAGGAAGCCTGGGCTTGTTTCCACCCTTACCCCAAGGAGACAATACGGCCTCCTTTGGTGGGGCTCAGCGTCCCCCAGAGCCCACCCTTATCAGTGTTGACTTAGTGGGACTGCCAGGTGTGTGGGGGTTGTGTGTGTCCAGGGAACATGGGAGTGGAGGTTTTAATTTCTACCATCATAAAAATGCGAGACCTGTACACTGTCAAGAATAAGCGAGCCTGATTTGATTTTCCCACCTACATTGCTGGCAACTT